TGTGTGTGTGTGTGTGTTTTAGCTTAGTTTAAATGTAATCTAGAATAGCCAATAAATTCTTGTTTCATTTATAAAGAAGTATTGTCTTGTGTCGTGGAATTTTAAAAGTTAAAACTCTGCCCAGATCTTAGTTACCTAGCTCATAGCTTATAACTTATCAAAAGCATGTATTAACCTGTGGCCAGGGAAATACAAATATTCAAATTGTTAAGATACATGGACGTTAACGTCTCGCTGGACGAACAGTTGATAAAGTGTAAACTATCAAATTTGAAATCAGTTCTAATCAGGTTGACTTCGAATCTTCAGATTCGATTCCACTCAAAACCTGAGCTAAAATAATAATAATTAATTCCCTCACAAAATAAAATTAAAATGAGTTAATTTCATTACAGTCAATTGTGTTTTTGGAACAGCATTATTTTAGTATTATTTACATACTATTACAGTATTTATTCACATTTTGAATTAGCTTTTATTTCTACATTTTCTATTTTTATTTTAATTTTAGTTCCTTTTTTAATAATTTTGTTATGTGCCTGTCATTTTTATTATATTTTGTTTTTATTATTATTTCTATATGTGACCCTGGACCACAAAACCAGTCATAAGGGTCGATTTATACATCTGAAAGCTTCCAGTGATGTATGATTTGTTATGATAGGACAACATTTGGCTGAGATACAACTATTTGAAAATCTGGAATCTGAGGGTGCAAAAAAAATCAAAATATTGAGAAAATCGCATTTAACACTCATGTGGTGTTCGGGTCCTTTTTGCGCTGAAAATTTTGTATTTTTCCCGAAAATACTAGTTAATGTTATCACATTGGACTGAAATTTTGTGACTTTGTTCACAAAGGGTATAACTACTTCTAAAAAATGTTTTGATCATTTTCATACTTTTCTGGGGGAGATTTTTCACCTTGTTACACCTACGAGGTTACAGAGCAAAAAAGGCACTCCCTCAAAAAATTGCTTATAAATCACTCATTATGCTATATTATCACCAAATATTGGATTCAATCTTTTTGTCAACTTCTTATCTTTCATTTAGGACTGGTTTTGTATTTATATTTGCTTCTGATTAATCGTAGGCCTCATTTATCTGAGAGTAGGCACAGAATAGCATACCCCGTTTACGTTCAGTGGATACTCTCCAAATTGGCACCAGGGTGACGCGGAGGAGACAAATTGTTGTATAAAGTCTTTATTTTTGTTTTCTTTTGCGCACAAAAAGTATTCTCAAAGCTTCGTAATATTACGGTTGAACCCCTGATGTCACATGGATTATTTTACCGATCTCCTTGCTACGTCTCTGGACCTTGATCATGGTAATTACATTTCTGTCTATGGGAGGGTCAGAGAGCTCTCAGAATTGATCAAAAATATCTTAATTTGTGTTCCGAAGATGAACGGGGGTCTTACGGATTTGGAACGACATGAGGGTGAGTAATTAAAAAAGTGAAAAAGTGATGTGACATTTTGACTCTCTTACCATTAGGCCACAACTCCCCCATTAATGACAGAATGTTCATTTTTGGGTGAACTATCCCTTTAAGATTCTTATATAGAGAACATTTCATGGAACAACAAACCAATATTTATACAGTCACAAAAAAATAACACCGACACTGTCATACAGAGACAATGTCATGCAACAACAAATCTGACCATTGTGACATGAAAAAACAGCACTGCCATATCGAGAACATTTCATGGTTCAACAATATTTATATGCTCTGTCTTTGTGCTAAAGCATTTATTAGTAAACTTTTGTCTGCTTTGTGAGAACATGAAAGCCTCAAAACCTATTGTCAAAATATTTTGTCTAGAAGGTGTGATGAAAGAGAGAAGATGAAAGAAAGATTATTTTGAAGCAGGGTGAAGCCAGTTCGTGTGTGTGTGTGGGGGGGGGGGGGGGGGACTTTCATTCCTGAAATTACTTTCATTCTTTCCCATTCACTTTGAATGGCTGGACATTTTTGACCGGGAACACCACAAGTGTGACTTTGTGCCATTTTGTACAAAATAAAAGCATTTAAAAGCAAACTCCCTGATTAAACATTAAAGTACACTAGTGTGATAAACAGTGTAAATTTTCATCAGTTTTTATTTAATATTGTGAAAATTATTCATAAATAATGCTTTTTTCACTCAAAAAATTAGGTGCCTACTTTCAGATAAATGAGGCCTACGATTAATCAGAAGCAAATATAAATACAAAACCAGTCCTAAATAAAAGAAAAGAAGTTGACAAAAAGATTGAATCCAATATTTGGTTGTGATTTATAAGCAATTTATGAGTGATTTATAAGCAATTTTTTGAGGGAGTGCCTTTTTTGCTCTGTAACCTCGTAGGTGTGATAGGGTTCTGAACACAACACAAGGGTTAAAGTTGTCCAAATGAAGTTCTTGGCAATGCATATTACTAATCAAAAATTACGTTTTGTTATATTTACGGTAGGAAATTTACAAAATATATTCATGGAACAAAAACATAATTTTGACCCATACAATGTATTGTTGGCTATTGCTACAAATATACCCATGCTACTTATGACTGGTTTTGTGGTCCAGGGTCACATATAGCTTTAATTTGTGAAAGTTCTAGTTTTAGTCATTTCAGTCCTTTAACATGAACTTATTTCAGTTAATTTAATTTATTTTATTTTGTTTAGTGCTTTTGTCATTTTAATTACTTTTTTGTTTTGTTTTGTTTTTAATAATTCTATATAGCTTCAATTAATTTTATTTCAGTTTTAGTCACTTTAGTTCAACTTAAAAGTATTTCCGTTATTGCCAAGGCAACATTTCAAATTTTTCTAATCTCGGTGTTTGTAAATGTGAGATGTAAATGATGACAGAATGGGGTGAACTGTCTCTTTAAGAAGCCCGTTGGGCACCCCAGCATAGCAGAAGTCCATGCTAGAAAACTAGCAACCACCACAACATGACATA